CATGATGGACAAGTTCATCTACAACTTGGATATATTGGGAAGGATATATAGGGACTGGAGGAGTTTGTCACAGATGGAAGCAGGGAATTGGCTTAGTTACTGCTGTTTGTTAGTTAACCTTCAGGCTTTCCTCTACCAGCTTCCACTGCCCTGCTCCTAACTGAGATGACTGGAAGCTAAAAGTCAAGTTAGATTGACTCCTCCTTATACATGCCTCAACAACATTTATTCCACAAGAAAAACAAAGTATTACGTGATTTTTGGAAGCAAACTGTTGAACTTGTCAGCCACAACAAGCTTCACGTGACCCCCAGTAACTGCAGTGCCCCACTGGGATGAAAACAAAACACAACCATAAAACCCACTAGTCATTCAAATACATAATTATCTGTCTGCAATGCAAGGCAATCTATCGAGTCACTTTACTTTGCCACTTGTAAGAGTAGGACCCAATTAAAGAATCGGCAGAGCAAACGATGAAGTTGTTAGGTATTTTACTGCTGAACATAAAACCAGACCTCCAGCAGCATGGGAGAAGGCAGAGAGCAGTGTGCAGATAAAGGGCACAACAAGCACAAGACTCGATGGGCAAGGAAACAGGCTGCACCACACAGCAAGAAGGCCACTACAGGAAGCAACAAAGTCTCTCAACTGGCTACCTCGAAGAGCAAAACTGAGGGACCTCCCTTAACTCACCCTGTTACTGTGGTCACTTAATTCATACACTATGCCTGCTAAGTGTTTCTTCACTGTTCTGAATGCAGTCTATCCCCATCTATGCAGATTGGTTTGAAAAACTGCTCACTGAGGGTCCCTTGGTGGCAGAGTCACAGCTTCACTCTGGAAAAAAGTGGTTATAAAAAAAAGCACTAAAGATAGGATGGTATCTCAGAAAAAGGAAATTACAGGAATTCTGACAGATTTCAAACTGAAGGCCTTTAGCCAAGCACACTTTCAATACTGCATGAACTGGAGTCAGTTTGAAGGCTCTAATTCTGAGCAGAGAAAATGGATTAGGTTGGTCACTCCTCCCTCCTCCATTTCACTGGCCTTTCCTATGGTAATAATCTTTTTTCCCTCATAACTGCATATGCTCATTCATGTCTAGAAGTTTCCTCATTTTTATAATCAGTCTGAGGTGGCACAGATTTACTGACCTACCAACAAATGCACAAAACTGAGTAAAGGGCCTCCAAAATAAAAAAAAAAAAAAACAAAAACCCAACAAAACAAACCAACCAGCAAAACCCAGTTTCAGATACAACTGTCTTGAGATATTTTTTCTGTTGAGGCACGTTAGCCATTACAACAGCAATACACTACAATTAGAGTGAACTCTGAATCCTTTCTTCGCATTTCCCTCTAGGGAAGAAAATATGGACATAAGTACAATTAGAACAAAAGGAAATAATGTGAAGGAAAAAAAAAATAAATTCAAATGTTTAGTCCTTAAAAAGAAAAATCTAGATATTTGTTCTCATTACTCCAACACAGCGCCTGCTTCTCTTCCACCAATCTTTTTGTTATGAGATTAAGTTAAAACACACATTAGAAATGAAGCATGTGCATATTTTCTTAATTCTTTCAGGCCACAAAAGAAGGAACATTCAGAACAGTCTGTTGTGGCTTTGAAGATGAAAGCCACATATTTTATGCTGCAAAATTCAAGGGAGGATTAATTTTCATTTACGCTACCACCAAATTTTAATAGAAAGCCCAATGCAAGATTAACCTTTCTTTCTTGTGTTTCAAGAAAAAAATATTTTAAGAAAGAAACAAGCCTTATATTGACTATGTGCTTGAAATGCTTCCATTAGATCTAATATGTCCACAAGCATACTGACATGAGGGAATTTTCCCTTCATATTGACCCCAAGTTAGACAGCAGACATGGAAATACCAGATCAGAAACTGCTAGAACAAAATCCAGTAGTGTGGAGGCAGTTAAGTATGGGGGAAGAGGGAATTGGAAACATAGCTTGTAAAGGAAGTCTGTTTATGAGCTTAACTTAAATGATAGAGTGCTTTACCCTTCTGTAAGTCTAACCCATGCCAGGTATATAGAACAGGAAATAACATCACAATTTCTTATAATTTTTTCTGTGTAACACTTGTAATACAGCTTTCACATTATGGACAACTCCAAGGATTTAAAAATACAATTTTTAATGATGAAACTGGGAGTTTTTGCTTTCTGTTTGAACCTTCAGAGCTGATACTGTCCAAGATTTCCACTGCAGACACCAGGACTATAGATTTACTCCCCCTTACTCATATGAAATCTGATAGCCTCATGCAGTCATATGAATTCAGGAACTGAGGATTAAAAGAAAACAGCATTGGAAGAATTAAAACACTGCTGTCCCTCTGTTTTATGTTTCCCAGAGTAGGCCCCATTCCCTCAGAAAAGCACTTAAAACATTTCATGCAGAAGGATGAGGTCTAGTCTGTGTTGTTATTTCGAGAACTACAATACCCTACCAATTGTAGTCCACAATGGAAACCCCATTAGAAGTCACAAGCCATCCTTTTCAAGAGTTTTCCATTTAAGCACCCACATTTCCAATTTTTGAACTGGTACTGGGAAGTTGCCACTGCCATTGTGTGATTATTTTTTAATTGATTTTTTAAAATTATCTTTTTCTTCCCAGGTTTCAAATTAAACCATGACTCCTGATAGGACAAGCTACCTGGAAGGAAAAAGCCCTCTCAACTTCATTCAGTTTAACTGCCATGTCAAGAACAGCTCTCTGCTTCCTCTTACTCCCTATGTCTAACTTCCTCCTCCGTTCACATCTGCCTCTGTACCCATGGCATTTTCTGTTCTTTATCATATCAGTTTGCCCCCTGGATTGCACTCTTAACTTGACATTCAGTAGAAGCACCCATCCATGAGCACAGCTGATAAAACTACAGTAAATTGGAGCTCACCACCTTCATCCCCACACTCTTCCCTCCTCATGGTGTTTTTAATCATTTATATGAAGAGCTAGGGGGAAATGCCGACAGGATGTACTTCCAGTTTTCTACTTTCAGGCAAAACTAAGACTACAAGCACTAACAAGATAGATATATCCAGTCTGACCTCTTGTGTATGCAGCCTCTAATTAGTGTCTGACAGTGCTCTGGTCTCATGGAGCACACAACTCCGATATTGCAGAAGGATTTCCAAGATTTAGAAGCTGTGCAAAAATATCCCCAAGCAGGGAATGGATTCCACAGAAAGAAACTCTGCCCATATCAGTTGACAAAATGATTGTCAGCTCACAGTATAAGAAGGGTAATGCTATGCTGTTATTTATGACCATTGCAGGTGGGGCAGGAGTCAACATCTGGAGAAGTGCTGGAAAGCAGCTGCAG